AATGTTGGTCAAAGGCTACAAAGTTTCAGTTATGCAGGATGAAACGGCCTGGAGGTCTGATGTACAACAATGTGGCTACAGTTAATGGACTGTATTATATTAAGAGAGTTTTTCTTATTGTCAAAAAAAAAAGGTGACTGGGGTGATGGATGTGTCAATTAGCTTGGTTTTGGTAAGCATGTCACAGTGTGTCAGTGTATACTTATCTCAAGACATCATGGCGTACATCTTAATATCTTCTTACCTGTCAATTATACCTCAATAAAGCTGGAGGAAAATTGGAACTTAATAACATTTATATCGACATTCTGGGGGAGAAAAAGACAAAGTGAAAATAATAGGCAACTGAGGGAACCCAACCGCCAGGAGAAAGAGCCTGACATTCACTCAGAACCGCGGGAGGAGACACACCGCGACCTTCACAGCCACAGGAAAAAGAAAACTAAACAATACAAGAGCACTTTTAAAAAGTCAGATGCAAGAGAAAACACTCTCTTCAACTAGGAAAAGGGGTTTTAAAGGAGAGGATGGAGAACTGGGAAAACCAAGGGGAAGAGATGATGCAAAACCCAAAACAAAAAGCAGAAGGCAGAACCCGTGCGGAGATAAGGAGCCTGAGAGGAGAGAGACCCAGGAGGCATCCTGTGTGAATAATAAACCCAGAAGGAAAAAAGCAACAAATGGAGGGGCGGCAATAACTTGAAGACGAGAAAGAAAAGTTTCCGTGGTTTGAAGAAAGATGGGGTTTGAAAGGGTTCGCTGAATTCCAGGCAGGAATGATGGAAAAAATCAGACATGCAGGCACAGCCTGGGGAGATTCCTGAATTCCACAATTAAAGGGAAAAGTCTTACAAGCTTCCCAAATGAACGAGCTACAGGGAAAGAAAAGAGAAAAAGACTAGAACCGCACATCTCATTTGCTAGAAAAGAGCAAAGCATCCCATGCGGGCTGAGGTGCTATCCACCTGCCCAGGAGAGAAAAAATACCAGGGCCCATTGAATCTCCCCGTACAGGGAAGTGCCCGAGAAAGGAACGGACTCAGGCAATAAATGGATCAGCTTGGAGACAAGGGAGATGAAGGAAAGAGGACGCCATCGCTGGTGAGCCAAGGACCTATTGCCAGCCTGCAGCTAAAAGTGCTAAACGGGCTTGGCAAAAGGTAGGCGCTGAGGAGGGAAAGGGAGCCAGCAGAAGCATTTTAAATATCTCCGTTGGGTGGGGAGAAGGGAGAAGGGGAGGGAGCCCCTCGGCCGGAGGAATTGATCGACACCTTGTTGACAAGTCACAGAACGTTTTTTCACTATGAAAACCAGGAAGGGGCAGGGCAACGTTAGTGGAAGACAACATATAGTAGAGCTTCCAGAATGAGAAGGAAAAAAGAGGAATGACCAGCATCTATTGTCAATTGTTCCATCCTTTCCCCTCTCTTTTTTTAACTCGAAAAATCTTTTATTATGGAAACTTCTAAATACACCCGACAAGAGAGGGAATAGCTCAAGGAGTCTCTGTGGAACCAAGGCCAGGGTTCATTACTCTTTTTTTTTTTAAGCTGAGGGAAACATTTATTGTCGAAAATTGCAACATTTCACTTTTTTGGTTTTCGGTGGTATTTTTGCCCAACAATTTATTTAGAATTTGTACACTTTTGTAGAAATCAGCCCTCCTCTTCACTGATCAAAAGAGCTCTTTGCCTAGCCGGTATGGCGCAGTGGTTGAGCGTCATCCCCATTCACCAAGAAGTCACCAGTTCAATTCCTGGTCAGGGTACATGCCCAGGTTATGGGCTCAATCCACAGTTGGGAGCATGCAGGGGGCAGCTGATCTATGTTTCTCTTTCATCAATGTTTCTATCTCTCTCTCCCTCTCCCTTCCTCTCTCTATAAAATCAATAAAAAACATTTTTTTAAAGCTCTTCTCCTTTGGTTCCTATTCCGACCCCCAACAACTCCAAAACTATGCCTTCCTAAAATGACTTCCACGGATGCGCTTTTCCTGGTGAATGGTTTGGCTTCTCCGCTTTAGGGCAGACAATGGGAAAAGCCACACAATGCTAACTCTTTCCGGTCACCAAGGCTCTTTAAAATCCCACAGCTCGCACAGAACTCCGTGCTTCTTGATGAGCTGTGTCGACCTGCCCACCTTCACTCAGTGACACCTGGCTCCAAATGGTATCCGTCGCTCTCTTTTGGTGCCAGATGTTAATGATTCTGGAAAACTCTGTACCGTCGCTTAATCCCCTGGGAAGCCCCTAGATTCTTGGTTTTAAAAAAAAATGGCAATAGAGCATGCTTAAATAATCACAATTACTAAGCAACCACAGCCAACTTTGGTCAAGACAGAGAAAACTCTCACAGGACACGTTTGCAAGCAGAGCGAGGAATGAGCCAGGCAGGTGGGCAGGCTGGTGACACCAGGCAGCTAGAAGGGCACACGGAAACGCCAGCATTGGCCGAATTGTTCCCAAACATTCATTATTTTCCGTTTCTTTCTCATTGGGAAGGTGTGATTTATTTTACTGCCACAAAACAAACAGTGGAGCTACGTTTAATCACTTCGATACCTGGCTTCAGGTAACTGCCGATCCTAAATGTGTTTCTCTGGGAACCTGGGTGGGGGAACACCTACTTCTGACTCCACCAGGTCCTCCCGGCCCTCCCCAGGTCCACACTCACAGCCCTGGGTAAGCCCATACGCCATGGTTTGGCCCCACCTCAAGCTGCTAAGTCCTGTGGTCAGTGGGAAGACACTGGGGCCTACAGCCACCATCCACCCAGCTACCACACACCCCGGTCTGGTCTCTCCGAGGCCCTCTCCCTACAGCCTTTCCTCACCCCTGCACTTGGCCCCTGGAGAAAACCTCCCCTGCCACTTAGCACAAGGGGCCCTGGCCATGAGTCAGAACACCTTTCTTCTTCCTGCCACCCCTCCACCCTCCACGGCACTTACAGGTGCTCTGCTTCCCAGGCCTTCCTGGCTCCTCTCCTTCTCCCTTCCAGTCCCTTTGGGGGCCTTTCCCTCTCTCTAGATCTCCAACCTCTCCCTCTCTGCTCCTTCCCCTCCGCTTAGAAACATGCTCAGCTCTTCCCTCTCAGAACCCCAGCCCTCTGCCCTTGTCTTCCATTCATCTGCCTTTGCCTCCCCCACTCCCCTCTGCCACCGTCGCTGTCTCCACTCCTCACCCCTTCACCATCCTTCACCCTGTTGGAGCCCAGCTTGGCCCCAGCACAGGGCTGCACTGCCTTCTCTCGGGGTTGTCACCTTGAACGCCCCCAGCTTTCCTTTCCCACCACCCAGGGGCCCCTTTGAAGATCGCTTCGTTCCCATGGCCTTAACTTTAGCCCGTAAGTTAACTTCTCCAATTTCTGATCAACCAGATGGGGCAGGATTTAAACCTTCAACTTACTGTGGTTGCGCCAACTTCTTCTTTGGCCTTTATTTCCCCTGTATTAGGAGCCAACCGCCCATCCTGCGGAGGCGGCCCTCTCCGGGGTGGGATGGAGACACCTCCCTCCCCTCCCTCCTCCTGACTTCGTTCCCATGGCCTTAACTTTAGCCCATGAGTTAACTTCTCTCCAATTTCTGATCAACCAGATTGGGCAGGATTTAAACCTTCAACTTACTGTGGTTACGCCAACTTCTTCTTTGGCCTTTATTTCCCCTGTATTAGGAGCCAACCGCCCATCCTGCAGAGGCGGCCCTCTCTGGGGTGGGATGGAGACACCTCCCTCCCCTCCCTCCTCCTGGGAGCGCCACTGGCCGCCCTGGATGTCTGACCTCCGAGCCCTCAAGGTGGGGAAACCTTCTTCTGTCGCTGGCCATTTGGGCTCCAGAGATAATGGCAATTGAGGTTCTCCTGATTATGGGACAAGGAAGAGAATGAGGTTTGGGGTGAGAGGTAGGAGGGTTCCTGGGCAGGAAGGCTGAGAGGCTGGGGAGGCAGGGGAAAGGATGGGGACACACCAGGGTCCCAAAGCTGAAAGGTGGAGCCATAGCCTGGGAGGGGCCCAGCCAATAGAATAAGGGCAGCACCACCTCAGGGCAGCAAGGGCCCAGCACCTCCCGCAGCTGCCCAGGCCCTCATGCCCTCTAAACAGGCACCTCTGCCAGCCATCTCAGGAGTGGGGTCACCAGGGCCACAAGTTGACACCTTCCCTGGGGCTTCGATGGGGGTGGGGGGCCAGACCAGCCGTGGGCAAACTACGGCCCGCGGGTCAGGGCAGCAAGGGCCCAGCACCTCCCACAGCTGCCCAGGCCCTCATGCCCTCTGCACAGGCGCCTCTGCCAGCCGTCTCAGGAGTGGGGTCACCAGGGCCACAACTTGGCCCCTTTCCCTGCAGCTTTGATAGGAACTCTGGACACCAGTGGGATGGTGAGTGTGAGCACACGCCAGGGGGCCAGACTGAGCACATGCCAGCCGCCCAAGCTGGAAAGGGGCAGTGGGCAAATGGGACACCTAAGCTGCCTTCATATCCTGGCCACCCATCTCCAGGGCATCTGCGGGCACCTCCATGGCTTCCCTCCAGCGTGTGTCCCCCTCTTTCCTTGTCCCAGCAAAAAGGGACCCCACAGCTAGACACCCAGAGGCACCTGGGAGCCCCTCAAAGATCACCAAGGCTTTCCTGTTCTCCTAATCTTCCTGGGTGCTTCCCACCCCTTCCATCTGCACCTACGTGGCAGCAGCCTGGCCTGCACCCTGGGCACCGGCACAGCCTCCTAACCAGCGTGGCGGCCCTTTCCTTGTCTCTCCCCCCTCTTGCACCCAGGCACTCCACAGAGGGTGGCCGAGGGACAGTGAGCCCTTCCCCCGCTGGGAGGAGGGGTGTGAGGCCAGGAGGAGCTGAGGTTGCAGAGGCAGTCCGTCAGTGGAGGGCAGGGATGGGACACACTGCGGGTGAGGAAGGATGGCCTAATCCCCATGCAGCCCCGGGCAGGGGGGAGGGATAAAGTCCCACCGTGGGAGCCTCCTGCCTGCCCTTTCCCAAAGGAGCTGGGGCTGCCGGCCAACAGCCAACACCAGGATAGCCAGGAATGTGGGAGTCACTGGCTGCAGAGACTCAACCTGGGGAAGGCCTCCTTGGTCACCTGGTGGGTGGGCTGCTCTGGGGGGTCAGAGTGGTTTGGCCCTGGCAGGGAGCTCTTTAAATAGATGCTAAATATACCATCTATCCCTAAGCATGAGGTGGGGGGAGACAGGCCTGTGACCCTGCAGGGTGTGGACCCCATGACTCTGACCTTGGCCCGGACCCATCTCTCCAGCCAGCTCCTGGAGGCCCGACAGCCCTCCCTCCAAATGCCTGCCCTGTCTCATTCCCAGCATCTCTTGCCTAGGTCCCGGTACCAGCCTCCCCGTGACCACAGAGTGACCCGTCTAAAGCCCACAGTTCATCCGCACAGCAAGCACAGGCAGCAAGTGGCTCCTGCATCAAGCAAGGACTGTCAGGAGGGAGGGAGCTCCATGCAGAAAGACATCGGCATTGGCAGGTAGGAAGTGGCAGGTGAGGGGTTCACAGCGCAGGAGACCAAGTGTGTCTGTGCACCTGTGCACCGCCTCCCGAGTCCGAGGCCTGCACAGGCCCCTCCCCGATCCAGCCACACCCTTGGCGCAGAAGACCAAGTGTGTCTGTGCACCGCCTCCCGAGTCCTAGGCCTGCACAGGCCCCTCCCCGATCCAGCCACACCCTCTCCTAAGCCACTTCACTCTCATTGGAGTGTGCCCGCCCCCCCCCCTCCCCGCACCAGTTCAGGGAGTCTCCTGCCCCTGTCCCCTCCCCAGGCTCCTTTCCTGACCCCTCCTGGCATGTCTCCCAACTATCAGCCACCTCTGCCTGCCCCTAGTCCAGCCGTGGGCAAACTACAGCCCGCGGGCCGGATCCGGCCCGTTTGAAATGAATAAAACTAAAAAAAAAAAAGACGGTACCCTTTTATGTAATGATGTTTACTTTGAATTTATATTAGTTCACACAAACACTCCATCCATGCTTTTGTTCCGGCCCTCCGGTCCAGTTTAAGAACCCATTGTGGCCCTCGAGTCAAAAAGTTTGCCCACCCCTGCCCTAGTCTGTGCTTCTAGCACCGAGCGGGGCACCCAGCAAATGTCCTGAGAACTAAGGAATTAAGGCAGAGCAGGTCTGAGGTAAGGGCAGTGTCTGGGTGGAGGTCAGGTCCTGCCTATCCAAGCATGAGTTTCCATAGCAACGATCCCCCCACCCCTAACCCAGTGGAGGGCAGCCCCCTGCCCGGCCTGGCTTGGCCTCGCTGCCCCCACCCATCGCATGCCTGGCTCCTCTGTCACCGGTGGTAATCCTGTGTGGTTTTTACTCCACTGCCCATGAATAGAAGAGTTAGAGGAGGGCGGGTGGGAGCCCTTCCCAGGGCCTTACACCCCGCCCCTGCAGCGGGGAGCAGCTCCCGGTCCCCTGGAACCCGGCCAGCTATGCCACCCACTCTTGTCAGCACCCGCCTTCACAGAGGCCTCCCACTCAAAGCTCAGCTTCCTCAGCCTGGTTGTGGCTGCCCACGGCCGGCACTGGGAATGTAGGCCTGCCCTGCTCAGCTCATTAGACCCTCCTCTCTCCCACACTTGCCCACACATGGGCGCCCCTGTCCTGATGTTTTGTCTCCCCTCCGCCTGGCACCTTCCAGAATCCTTCCCACATTCATAGTCCCCAAATCAGCCACCAGGGCCCGTCAGCTCTCTGCCCTACAAGCCTCTGGGATCAACCCCTGAGCCACCCCCCTGCCCCGTCAGCAGCCGCTGCCTCCTGGCAGCCTCCCCCCGGGCCTGCTCTGTGCAGTGACAGCCTGGGGACGTTTTTCACGACAGCTCTGCATGCTGTCCCCTTGCTGTACAGTCAGGCTCTTCACTGGGTATCCAAGGTCCCTCTTGTCTGGTCCCTGCAGCCTCTCTTAGGGCCCACCTCCCCCCTCCCCCTCCAGCTCTGCGGCTTCCACACACGCACCGAGCAGTGTCCTGCCTCCTGGCCTTGCACACACTGTACCTGCCACCTGGGATGTTTTCTCCTCACAGGTGAGCTCCAGGAGACATCTCTGACCCAACCCCAGGCACTTCCTCTGGGACCCCTCACTCCCCTACGTCCTCGGCCATAGTGAGTGTCACATGCAGGTCAAGAATGCGGTTTCAGGGGAGCCTAGATGTGGCCTGATCTGAGGTGCCTGGAACATAAACCCTTGCAGCCAAGAGGCCAGTCTTGTGTATCGTGTCTCGGCCAGTCGTTGGCTGTGGGTGGGAGGGTGTGTAACTTCCCAGGGGAGGGGGCTCTCGTATCTGAGGGCAGTCACAGGAAGGGTAGCTGTGAGCATCAGCAGTCACCACTCCTGCAGAGGGGGTGGCGGGTGCACTGTCGGGTACAATGGGGTCTGTCAGGGCACCAACGGGCACCCACCCCACCTCTGGCGAGTAGGACTCTGGCAGATTTCTAAATAAACGAGGAGCAGGTGGATACTTGGTCCATCAGCACTGACCTTCCCAAGCCCACAGCCACGCGGCTGCCCCTGGAGAGGGTCCTGCCCGCGGCAGCCACCACTTCAGCGAGTGGAAAGAAGCCCAGACGTCCACCTCTCAGAGAAGAACTCTGAGCCCTGCCTCCTGGTCAGTGTCTCTTAGTGCCCGACCCTGCAGATGGCAGCTTTAGCCAATGTGCTCAGTTAGTCCTCATAGTAACCATTTTAAAGATGGGAAGACAGAGGCTCAGAGCAGTGTCGTGACTCCGTAAAGCTCATGCAATTTGCAAGTGGAGGAGCTGGGATTCAAGCCCAGGTCCAATTGGCTCCTTGTCCTTCCCCCAGTGCATGAACAGCCTCAGAGCTAAGCCCCTTCTGCCCACCATAAGAGACTGACGAGTCCAAGGTCATCTCTGTTCCCCACAATAGGGCTCAGCTAAACTCAGGGTCCCCAAGGGCCACATCTGGCATTTGGGAAAGTTGGGAGGCCCATACATATATTTTGCATATCGTTTGCATAATGATGGCATCTGGTTTGCATGTGTCCACATTGAGGATCCACCAGCACTGCACAATTTTTAAGTTCCTTCTAAGCAGCTCTAACTCAGTGGCAGTCCATCCTGGCTTTACAGAGTCCAGTGTCCATGATTTCTGGACTCTCTCCCAGGCCCTCACCTTGGGGCTGCACATCTACACACCCCAGGGTCCTGGAGAAGCCAGCGTGTGGGTTTAACTGTAACGTTCTTTGAAGCCGTGGGGCTGTAATCAAAATGCCGACTGGGCTTTGAGCGTGCTGATGTTTATGTTGAGGAAAGAGGGAGCTGGGCAGAGCTGGCTGCACAGAACTTCCACAGGTGGCCCCATGTGCAGGGAGGTGGCTGCGCAGGCTCAGAGAAAGGAGCTGGGGGGGGGGGGGGGGGGGGCGGGGGCGTATCCTGTCACTACCAGTTGACTCCGGGGTAGGTGAATTTCTCCCATTGGGGCGCTCATCTGTGGAGGGAAAGGCTTGTGCCAGGAAGCTCGCAGGGTCAGCGCTTTCTACTTCTGTCTCTTTCAGGGGACCTGCTTTCCATAAAACTCTGTGATGCTCTTATTGACCTTATGTGGTGGGCCTCCATAAAATGCAGAGAACAACCTGTGAGGTGGGAGGAGCCTGGGGAGGGAGAGGAGCCTGGCATTCTGGGAAGTACTCGGAGGCATGGAAGGGCTATCCCAGGTGAGTGGGTCACCACCATGCAAACCTGCCTCTCTGTCCCAGGAGCCAGCTCTTTCCTTCTGCCCCGAGAGCCCATGGAGGAAGGATGCTTCCGGGTCTGGCAGGGGCTCCTACGCATGCCCCATACGGTGCCACTTACTGACGGACCCCAAACGCAAGACTTTATGCTCCCTGCCCAGGGTTATCTTGTCGTCCTGATGGCATCCTGTCCCTCCTGAAGAGAGAGGTGGCACATCTGTCCCTAAGGGGCGAGTGGAGACTGGGAAAGTATGCTTCTGCGTGTGTGTATAGGGAATTGGTGTGGGGTGGACCGAATGTGTCTGGATATGGCCGTGCATGTCCCCATGAACAGATAGTGTGACCCTGCGCATGGCCCCTCAGCTGCCTCCATTCAGGTGTGGAAACTCCAGTCTGAGCCGAGGGGAAGGACAAGTCTGCCTCCCGCCCCTGCCTCTGGCCTGCCTAGGTTTCCTGTCTGGCACATGCAAAGTGGCCTCATCGTCTGCGGGGGAGACCCCGGCCTCTGCCTGGATCCAGCCGAGACCCTGAGCATCTCTCCCACCCACGTCCTCCACGCCCACCGGGAAGGGGCCCCAGTGCTGGCTCCTGAGACTGTTCTAATGAAAGAGACTGTTCTAATTAAACATGGTTTGATGTCAGCCACCTGGGAAAGGGAAGCGGGGTCCGGCTGTCCTTCCAGCCCCTTGTTATGTGGATTTTTCCAAGTTCAGACAGGATCTAGCCTCCTCCCTGTGAGTCGTGGGCCCCACATCTGGGCTGGGGAAAGGAGTGAGAGGAAGGGGCGGGACCCCTTGGAAAAGGATCACAGTTTCTGGGACGGGGAGGGGGTTTCTTCCAGAGCCGCAGGGCAGTGTGCTGCCAGGCAGTCTGAGCCCAGCCGAGGGTGAGGAGCAGGGCCCGTTCATCTCCCTCAGACGTCTCCCCCCTTTCCAAGGAGGGGAAATTCAGCGGTTACAGATCAAGCGCGTGCTATGGACACTGTATCCTGCCCTCAGCAAAACGGCTCATGACATCTCTGTTAAAGGCCGGAGATTAAAATAACACATTCGGTGGATTTGTGTTGGGGGATGAAAGACTGTCTTAGCCGGGCATCATTTGGTTGCCGGGATCAGAAGCCCGTTCAAGCTAGCTCAAGTGAAGTGGGTCACTGGAAGCAGACAGGGGAAGGCAGTCGCCAGATGGCCACTGCCTCTCGACTCTGCCCCGCTCTCCTGGCAAATTCTCTTCCTCAGCTTCCCCATAATTCCCTCAGAGCAATGGCCACAGAAGGACATGACGTGTCCTCTCACCACCCCGCAGGGATCCTGTGGGTTGAATCATGTCTGCGCCCCCAAAATTTATGTCCACCTAGACCCTTACAATGTGGCCTTATGTGGAAATAGAGTCTTTGCAGTGCAATGACTTCAGATTAGGTCATACTGGGTTTGCCTGGGCCCTGGCTTCTATGGCTGGGGTCCTTATAAGAAGAGAGGACACAGGCACACACAGAGAAAAGGCCATGGGAAGAGGGCCACGTGGAGACCCGGGGAGAAGGCCATGTGAAGACAGACGCAGACGCTGGAGTGATGGGCTACAAGCCAAAGACTGCCGAGGATTGCCAGGGGGCCCAGATGCTGGGAGAGGAAAGGCGGGGTCCTTCCCTTGAGCCTCTGGAACCAGTATGGCCCTGCTAACGCCTTGATTTCAGATTTCTAGTCTCCAGGATTAGGGGAGAGTAGATCTCTGTTGTGTTAAGCCACAAAGTGTGTGGTAATTTGTTATGGCAGTCCTAGAAACGTTAATACAGCTCCCACTGGGAAGCTGGGTCCCCTTGGCCTCTGTGTTTCAGTTCCCAAGCCCAGGAGACGTCCCACGTGCCCGTTAGGCTGGGAGAGGGCATAAGCATGGATGTGTTTCAGAGGTGCCCCATTCTGGGCCCCTTGATATCATTGCTTTAGCTGGAGGGTGTGGGTTGCATCCCAAAGTCAGGTTGGAGCAAGGCCTCTCCAGGTGTGCTTCAGAGTCCCTTCCCTTCTGCATACCTACCAGCCACTTGTTAAAGACACAGAGGCTGTGGTCACCTGTGTGGATGAGACAAAGTCGGGGAGAAGTGCCACTCTGTTGGATGACAGAAGCAGGATTCAGCATGCTCTGTGTGGGTTAAAATATCAACAAGATGATGTTGAATAAGGATGACTACAAAGGCTAACGCTTGGGTTCCAAGAGTCAATTTCACAAGGGAAATAAGGAGGAAGCCTGGCTCAACAGCAGCTCTTTGTGAGACACACCTGAAGGTTTTCTTTGACCAGACGCTCACCATGAGCCAGTGCTGTGGTACAGCTAGCCACGAGCTTCAGATGCACCAAAAGAAGCGGAGCTCCTTGGCTAAGGGAGGCAGATAACACGGACCCCACCAGGAAACCAGAGGGACAGCCACCAGATGAGGTTGCAGAGGCTTAGCGAGGAGGATTCAACATGCCGGGGAGGCCATCGCAGAGTTATCAGGTGTCCTGGGCACCTCCGGACAGTGACGGGTGCCTGGAGGCAGAGCTAGCCCACGGGGAAGGGCTGGGGCCTATTCCAAGGCGGTGGCTGCGGGGGTGTTGCTGGCGGGCGCAAAACACGGTCATCTCAGCTCCGGAGCCCTTGACCAAGGCGGTCCCAGGTGCACAATGGGTTTTAAGGACCAATGTGTCGGGCGGATGGTGGGCGGCACCCAGGCCAGCCCAGGGGTTTGGCTCTGCTTCTCTCCGGTGCATGTGGATGGGTGAGCTTGGGGGGCCTCCCAGGGCGTGACGGCCTGCGCCCCCGCCACCCCAGGGCTGCTCCCTTCTTAACCTCTTCCTTGCGGGCGGCCCCTCGCGCGTCAGC